AATTAGCCATCATATTAAAGGGTAAGTGAGCAATGTGACTTAATGGGCCTAAAGCCCATTTCGAACTAGACTTAAATCAGTTAATTAAAAGGGGGCAAAATCTGATTTATAACCTGATTAGAATTAGCTGAATGATAAGATAAGTCTTATCCATTTAAGAGTCTAGATCCAAATATCAGATTTGGATCAAGAAACTTTCTCCTAATTGGATTAGGAGGCTAATCCAAAGAAGGCTATAAATAGGGGAAAATTCCTCAGTTTATACATATTAAGCAACCTACAGAATTCTCCCTAGCTCTTGTTGCCCCTAACCAATTTGATTTTCACATCTAGAACTGATCAAGAAAGGTTCTTGATATTTTTCTTGCTAGAAGAAACATTCTGAAGTCGTGCTCACTCGTATCAGGTATATCCTTCTCTTCCCTTTTGGTTTCAGATCTGGTCTGTTTTTTATTCAAGAATGAACCTTGAAAATGCAATTTTCTAAATTTAGGAATATGATTCCCAGATGTGGCCACGTGTCTCTTTGGACCAGCTCAGCCATGACCCGAACACCTATTTAATTAAAAATTTGAAATTTATCTTATATTTTTTTCCTTTTTCATTGGATTTTGTTATCTAGCTTCCTTCACATTTTTTCAATGTATATAACATGTTTAATTAGATCATCAAAGTAATCATTATTCTAACTTTTTTTTTGTTTTTCTTTGTAGGTTAAACATGCAATGAGCGACTCTTAAAGCGTGACTGGATACAATGGATTATTCTTTTATATTTAGAACTTTTCTCTTTTTTAAGGTTATGTAGACTTCAATATGTATTAAAGGAAATTTGACATTTGTAATACATTTTAAACAATGGATGTATTCAAATTATACATAGCATGTAATTTTACAATAATATAACCATTTGCTAGAAGTTATTGTATAATTTTCATGTGATGTATGAATGAAACAAGTATTGATTTAAAGTGCCAATTTTGATTATTGCTACTTTACTACTTTATTGGGATATGGTAACGATTTTTTAAAAAAATCGTGGCTATAGATTGAAACAATTAACTATGTTTTTACAATAAACTGTGGTTATAGGTTTTAGTTTTAGCCATGGTTTGTTAAAAGCCATAACTATAGGTTGATGTGTTTAGCTTCAGTTTTTATAGGTTAGCATATCTAACTATGGTATTGCGAAACCGTAGTTATAGATTGTATCTTCTAGCCACAATTTGTTAAAAAGTCGTAGCTATAGGTTAAGTGYTTTGCTTCGGTTTTGGCAAAAAAAATGTGGTTATAAGTTGGAACATTTAGCTACATTTTTATAACAAATTGCGGCTATAAATGGATGCCTTTAGCTATTGTTTTGTGAAAACCTGTGGTTTTAGATTTGAGTATATAGCCAAAGATAATTCAAAAACTATAGCTATATGCTTCTTATAGCTACGATTTAGTCTATGGCTGAAAAGCTTATATGGTTTGCATAATCCTTTAACTTTAACTATGGACAAATACTGTAGCTATAGATATGCTATGGCCATGGATTAATTGATCCATAGCCATAGGCTATAGCCATGTGACATTAGGCAATGGTTTTCTGTTCGTGGCTAAACCGTAGCTATAGGTCTATAGCTACAGTTTTTTTGACCTTTAGCCACGATTTTGTCTGTAGTTAAAGGTCATATTTCTATTAGCGTATAGATTTTTGAAAAGGGAATGAAAGAATGAGATAGTGAGATAAAGAATATCAAAGATTGAGGTTTAAAGAGTATTTTTGGAAGGAAATGAATAAGGGAAGGGGCTATCAGGACAAATTTGTGAGAGATCCTCTCAATTAATCAAGGCAATAAGAGAAAAAATTCACAAATTTACTTGAATTGAACATTCCAAGTTTAAGTGGTTGCCTTGATTGATTGGAATCTCCTTAGCTGATAAATCTTGGATTTAAAGATAGTTCTAGAGTATATATGTGAGGAAGATCTAGTCGTGGGATGCCCTAGGTTCATATATACATATACATGTAAAACTTCTATTGGGCTCACGAGCCTCATAAGTTAAATTTTATTGGGCTTGAGCTCGGCTCAATTAGCAAACGAGCCTATATGTTAGACTCGAATTTGATTTAAATTGAGCCAAATCGAGCTCTTCACGAGCCAAGCTCGAATATCTCATATAAAGCTTGACTTGTGGCTACCCCTACTTCTAGATATCAGGAAAAAAAAGAAAAACAATATTTACAATTTACTGATGTCTATTAATGGTCAAGCCTTCCAAAATTTAATTTATTTTTTGCTCAAAAATTATATAGAACTATCTAGGACTCGTCCAAATTATTTCGAAAACAATAATTTTCATGGTTCATTGGATTTGGTAGCTACCAATTAGATGGAACTTGTTATATTCATTCACTCGGTCCTTTACACTCCTTGTGGTTCTAATTTTGCCAACCCATCTGTGGTACGCATGACAAGGGCATAACCACAGGAAGGTCCCATCTTTATAATATTATTATTATTTTACTTCTGAAGCCTTTGTTTGATAAGAATGTGTATTGTGTTAAGTACCAAAGAAAAGAAATATCATATCCATATTTAAGGTCAACAGACTAGTGAATACACTGATACAGATAGTATTGGGGTTTTTGAATGTTTGGGATGATAGAAGGCATCCCTCTCACGGTGACAAAATAAATAAATAAAACAAGCAAGAATCAGTCTTCTCCATATACACCTTCACACCTTCGTCTTTGTTTATAAAGTTTCGTCTTCATATTCGTATGTCCATTCATGGTACTATTAAAACCTGAGCTGCTATATTTATTTTTGTAATGCTTAATGATAGACGTGATAAGCATTATCACGATAAGGACACATGATAAACACTATCATTATTTTCCTTATCATCTGTGTAACAGCTTTGTGTTAATCTCTGTATACTCCTATCTCATACGTCTTCCTCTTATATGTATAAATACCCAAGGTTTCTCAGTAATCAATCGATCAATTTAAGATTCTCTCAACCGTTATTGTCTTTCATGATATTAGAGCCCTAAGACTCACATCCTCCTTCATTGATTTATGTCGACCTCCTCTAGCTCATCCACCTCTCTCTCTGCAACTATTGTGAGCACTCCCTCCCTTCCTAGTCTGTACACTCTCAACCTATCTCAACTGATAACGGTTAGACTTTCTGGACCGAACTATCATCTGTGGGTACAGCTCATTTTGGTAAGAGAATTTACATTTCAGAACCAGATACAACTCATTTTGAAACAACCACACCCCTAAAAGAAGACAATTTGCAGTGGCTCATTTCAGAATGGGCTGAAACACACCAAACCATTACTGAATGCCACCTTTAAATGTTGTAAGGTTCACAGTGTCAGAATTGGTTTGCTCTTAAATTCCTTCTTCCAAGGCCGTGGACCCTGATGTTGGGAGGTATTGAAAGCATGAAAAGAAAAAGTAATATTTTATTATTATCCATCAATAATACAACCCAGTAATTAATGTTTGAATGTGTGAACACAATGATGCCACGATAGCGTTGAACTGGTAAGGTTGGAAGGGGCTTTTGAAACAAAGAAATGATATGAAGATTGAGCTTGAGCCTTCTACTTTTCAAGACAAATCAAAATCCCTATTCATAACGTTTTCATTTAATTTGCTTAATACTTGAAAGGAAATTGCCTAAAACTTACCATGACTCGGCATTTCTTTTAAATTCACCACAATTTTTTAAAATGTCTAAAACTCACTATGTCAGTAAGTTATTATTTTCCAAAGCTCACCTTCTATTAGTGCATCATTAATGCTTCTAAACAGAGGTGTCCACATCAGCATATATAACAATTTTTATGATCAAATTGCCCTTGAATGGCGAATTAGAGGAAAAGGGTACACCATTATCCAATCTTTATATTTTTTGAGTTTTTTTTTTGTCTTTTTCAGTTTTCAATTTTCTTTTTCTTTTTTGCATTTTTAGTGTAGTGTTATAATTTCCAATGTTTTTATAACTTCTATTTTTTTTACATTTTTCTATTTTCGACAATCTATAATTTTTTCTATATTTTTTGTTATTTATTTGAAAATTTTATGTTTTTCCTATAATTTTTGGTGTTTCTTCTACAATTTTTATTTTCTGATTTTGTTTTTCAATTTGTATAGTTTTTGTAATTTGAAAATATTTTTTTATTGTTTAGAATTTTTATATAATATATTAATGCCCGTTAGTCTGTTTAAGGTCAAGTTAGTGACATGGTGAGTTTTAGACATTTTAAAAAGTTGTTGTAAGTTTAAGAGAAATGCTGAAAAGTCATGGTAAGTTTTAGACAATTTCCCAATACTTAATAATAAAACACTTCTATTTCTTTCCCTAGTTATCGTAGGATTACAACCTACCAAAATTGATTCTTTCAATAACTCCAAGACATCGGGGTCCACGGCTTTAAAAGAAGGAAATTSAAACCAACTAACCAATGTGGGAGACTAATCTTTTATTGAACTAGTCATTCCCAACTTTGTATTTGATTGAAGTATCTTCCATTATTTGTTTAAAATAATTATTAAGTGAAAGACAATAATGGTTGAAGCCTTGGGTATTTATATGTACAAGAGGAAGACATATGAGATAGGAGTGTATAGAGATTAACACAAAGTTGTTACACAGATGATAAGGAGAGATAAGGATATCCTTAGATATCCTTATTGTGGTAGTGTTTATCATGTCTCCTTATCGTGATAAAGCTTATCACGTCTATCACCACACCCTCCCCNCCCCCGCAAGCTGATGGTGGGAGTTGAAGCTTGTCATGAAGCCAACCGAAGCGCAATAATCCAAGAGGTTTTGTGAAGATGTCTGCAATCTGGTCCTTTGTGGAGATGTAATGAATGGAGATGTTCTTGGTGGCAACATGATGGCGTACGAAATGAACATATATCTCAATATGTTTCAAGCGAGCATGAAATACCAGGTTAGCAGCCAAGTATGTGCACCAACATTGTCACACTAGAGTACGACATCAGTGAGGGGGATACCAAGCTCCAAGAAGAGGGACTTGTGCCATAGAACTTTGGAGGTAGTTGTGGCAACACTGCAGTATTCAGCCTTTGTACTAGAACGGGATATGGTGCTCTGCTTTTTAGAGGCCCATGAGATAAGATTGCCACCCAAGTAGATGCAGTAACCAGTTTGAGACTTCCGATCAGACTTGCAGCCTGCCCATGTAGCATCTGACAATGCATGGAGAGAGAGTGAGGTAGAGGAGACAATGGCAAGCCCAAAGTCAACATTATGCTTTAGGTATTTTACTATTCTTTTAACAGCAGTCCTATCACTGATTATGGGGCTATGCATGAACTGGCATACCTGATTCACAGAGTAGGAGATATCAAGTTTGGTGAAAGACAAGTATTGGAGGGTGCCAACGATTTGCCTATAGAGGGGGACATCAGCAAAAGGATCATCCCGTGTAGGAGTTGTAGTAGCTGCCTGTGTGGATAGAGGCTTAGCACCCGCAAGATGAACCTTGTCCAAGAGGTCAAGTATATACTTGGATTGACTGAGAAAGAGGCCATTTGGTGTGCGTATAACCTCCATGCCAAGGAAATAGCTTAATGGGCCTAAGAGTTTGAGTGTAAATTGAAGTTGTAGCTTCAAGATAATGGCCTCAATAAGTGAGGTGGAAGATCTGGTGATTATGATGTCGTCGACATAGACAAGTAAGAAGATTTTCTCACCATGATGATGGAGGATGAACAAGGAGCTGTCAGAGGTACATCACATGAAGCCTAGTGACAAGAGATGGGAGCTTAGTTTTTGGAACCAAGCCCGTGGGGCTTGTTTGAGCCTCTAAAGAGATTTGCTTAGTAGGCAGACATGATCAGGTCTCTCTTTGTCAACAAAGCCTGGAGGTTGCACCATATAGACAGTCTCAGACAAGTTACCATGCAGGAAGGCGTTTTGGACGTCTAACTGTTGTAATGGCCATCCATTGGAGATAGCAAGACTGAGTATAACACGAATGGTGGTGGGCTTGATGACTGGGTCGAATGTCTCTTAAAAGTCAAGGCCCTCTCTCTTATGAAAGCCATTGGCAACAAGCCAGGCTTCGTAGCGGTCAATACTACCATCTGGATGGCACTTCACACGAAAGATTTATTTACAGCCCAAAATGTTTTGGGCCTCACTCTTGGGTCGTAAGATCCAGGTGGCTTTCTGGATTAAGGCAAGAAACTCCTCCTCCATTGCTTTGCGCCAAAGAGGTTCTTTATTGGCTTGGGTGAAGATGGTGGGCTCAACACTATGAGATGGGATAGGGTATTTAGTGGAGTTATGGGCTTGACGATAGTCATATTCATGGAGCTTAGGACTAGGTTTGTGGATACCAGATTTGGATCTGGTGGTCATATGATGTGTGTTCATGATGGGGGGAGCAGCAAGTGGTGGTGCAACAGGTTACAAATCAGAACATGGATGATCATGGTCAGGTGGATAGATAGCGGCAGAGGGTTCAGGTGTTGAGCCAGGTGCAGGTTGGAGAGGAGGATTGGTGGAGGGGTCAAGGGCTGATGTAGTGTTTCCTTGTAAAGTGGGGGGAGGTCCGATGACGGAAGGGACAAAAGCTGTTCTACTAGGCACTACAACCTGTTGTGGAAATGGGAAAGAAGTTTCATTGAAGCACACATCCTTGGAGATGTAACATCAGTTTGTGGGAACATTCAGACAAATGTAGCCATTATGGGAGTCACTGTAGCCCAGAAATACAAAGGAGGTGGCACGGAATTCAAACTTATTGGAGGCATAAGCCCTTGTGTGAGGGAAGCATTCACATCCAAAAGCCCATAGTCGTAGGTAATTTGGCATCTTGTTGAAGAGAACCTCAAGAGGAGTTCGATTATTGAGAGCTCGTGTAGGTGTTCTATCCATTAAGTGAACAATGGTGTTGAATGCTTCCCACCAATATTTTGTCGGTACTGAGGAGTGGGCGAGAATGGCCAGTCCATGCTCAACAATGTGCTGATGTCGGTGCTCAACCACACCATTTTTTGCTGGCATGTGAGGACATGGCATTTGATCAATAACGCCCAATTTAGCCAATGTGGACTACAACTTGCGAAATTCACCACCACCATCAAATTGTAGGGATCTATCACTGTCGTCAACCATGCCACAATCTAGGTATTTATTTGGGTTTAAAGGTTTGACCTAATCTGTGCGTATTATAGGGGTTTCTTTTAGTTAGTTCAGTCCCATCCTACATTTATAAATCCATTATTGTTGTAATTTTATTGGATCCATCTTGAAGAGATGTAGCCAAATTATGTTAGACAGTTTTGTATGCCCTTAACTTCAATCAAAATGATGTACTTTATGAGTTTATTGTAAATGAATAAAAGTGCATATTTGATTCATGTTCCCTTGGTATGTTTCTGTGTAATACCCTTAAACTG